AAATACATACCTTCGGAATGCTACTCATAAGGAAAATTTTGTTAGCACAACTCCATGGGGCTGAAATGTGGAACTCACATATTTTCCAAAAGCTATGATACCTAATCACCAGGCATCTTCCGAAATGGTAAAAGTTAGATGTGGACCGACGATTTTGCAACAACTTTCCAAAATTTAAAAAAGTTTTTCGTAAAATTTAAAACGTTGATGAAAAGATTTTTAAAATTTTCTAGCGAAAAACTGGAATTTTCGACTACGGAGCTGGAGGGGAAAGATTCGCTTGCCTCTGCTCGGGACATCTCTGTCAATCAAGTGTGAAACACTTTGCTGAGATCTGTAATCGGGAGGGGGAGGGGGTGTCTCGAAAACTTGACCTTAAAACTTACACCCACTGTTTTCTTCGGAAATATATGTCAGTCCCATAAAATTATAACACTAAAAATTTGGTGATTAAAAGTATTTTTTCCCCTAGAAACATCAATTTTGATCATCTGGGGAGCGAAGTCAAATCGGTTGATCGCATTATCAGATTTTCCGGATTTTCCGACAAAAATTAGCATTTTTGGAGGTGGACAGTTGCTACAATTGGATTGTTCCCATCCGATCGTAAGACAAAGAGAAGATACCCTTTCTAGTACAGTAGTTAATACGACTGCCTGGTAGGCAGGAGATGCATGGTGCGATTCCATGCGAAAGGGGATTGTCTTTTTCTCTGTTCTGTTGTCATGCTATCACGTTGCTATCTTGCACGTAACAACAGTCCGTTCAAGATCATGTGACTAGGAGGCGGGCGGAGCCTCGAAGCAAGCGTGAATGATCATAGAGGAGGATTCAAGATGACCAAAAAAAGTCATCACGTGATTTCTAATCAGCTTCAATAATGTTAATTGAAATTTGTAGAGGAATGCAGAAAATCATTAGATAATATAATCGACAAACAATTGATCAATAGTTGAAAGTGTTGATGGTATCGGTCTCATATGAACTCAAATATATGTAAATGATTGAATATGGATCATAACTCAGCTCGATGTGTGAGCTTGAGATAGCCTAGTTAGAAAACAAAGCTTAGTATCGCACAATGTTTGCTTTCTTTCTAGATGAAGTGTTTTATCTTTATTCATGCTTCACAACACAATAGCCTTTTTTACAGGCTACACTCAAATAAAAACATATGTGTGGAATGTAGTATAATTTACTTAGCGGTACGTGCAAAAGAAGACAAAATTCATGCAGGTGAAAAAACTGCTTTATCAATCTATAGTTTTTTACTTCATCAAGAGAAATCACTATTCTCTATCAATTGATTCTCACCTCTCAGATGATTTTTGACTATTTTCAACCCATCTTGTTTCACAGAATTAAAGACGACAATGTCTAACAGTGGAAGGGCGCGTATTGAATGACCAGGTAATATTAAACGCATGATTCAATTGATTTTCGCAAGGCTAATCGTTTTTAAATTAATATCTGAAGCGGGAACATCAATGACCAACGAAAGTAGATGATTCAGCTGAGTTCTTGAAGGAGTGAATAAATTCTTGAGCCAATATTCATGCAAAGACGTATCAATCTAGCCCTGAAACAGATAAGATGATTGTCAGTCACAAATATAATTACTGAATAGCGAGAACTAAAACATTCGAACAAACGGTTTTTTTCTATACGACCTACTTTCTTTCTAAAGTAACAGTGCGATTCCACTAGTAGTCCATTGCACCAAGCACTCCTTAGATTTTTGCCTGTGTAGAGAAGAAATGGCGGTAGTATTTAACTATCACCATTGATACAGGTGAGAGTCGTGCAAAATGCTTTACTGACTCCACTATTCGCTTCGATGACATGCTGACAACTTCAATTAACTATTGACCATTGACCTAATAATATGAATACTAAATTTGTTAAGTCAGCAGATTCAGATCTACTTACCTCTTGTTTTGTTCAACAGCGAAAATTCATTCACATTATAGATTTTGGTCCGTTTATCAAGAAGATAGTGTCTAATCAAGACATCTTTAGATATTATGAATCATTCTGATCGATGTCACTGAATAAATGCTTCGGCATGCGCTTTTTCAATTTTTTTTTTTTTTTCCAAAATAATATCTTCAGCGATTCGATTGATGACGGAACTGAACCAATTTGAATCAAGTTACATAGTCAAAATAAAGATAGTGAAAATAATCGATAGCCAGTTGAAGAGGAAGGTTTTTTGTCAGGTCGAAACCATAGTCCAAAGTGCATTTTAGTCGAGAGACAAAGTATCTTTCTTGGTCTGATGTCAAATACAAAGAACGATCATCACCAACATGGAGAGACGGATTACGACGATGCTGAAGAATTATACTTGCAGCAACATTGAATCTGATTGTAACTGTTTTAGAGACAAGGTCGCTTGCAGCGCCATTGACAAGAGCTTGATGAATATATTATTTTAACATTCCGACCAATAGCTCTCTCTGACAATAATAATAGCAATTCGAAGAAGCAAATGCTTGTTCGACTATATAATTATCCAAATGAACTTTTTTATAAGCTAATTTGTAACTTATACATGCACACTAACTTGTATTGAATTTATCCATCAACTGATTTTTAAAATGTTTAAACTATTTTAATTCGATGAACAGATGAACATGTATTTTTCTTTTATATTTTTCGTTTGAAGTCATGATTGTTGTTGCAAGTCTATCATAAAAATATACGTTATGTGGGACTAAAAATCATACAGACTGCACTATTTTTGACAAGAATAAATTCAAGAAGTGGTATGTCAAAAAATGTTATCACTTGCACGTACAGATCGGCCTTCAGTTAACCCTTTAAGTATCATGACTCTGCATGTGAGAGAAATTTCTACAAGTTTTCATATTTAAGATACGTATAAGTGCAGTATTAATATTTTCATCAATACTTTTTAAAAAATCTTTAAAGTCATTTTCGACCCATGTCTGAACTTCTCCACGATGATGGCGAGGAATTATTTTGGTCGTTCCCGTGAGGAAGTAAGAGTATGGATCAAAATTTGATTAAGAGCTGTCGCAAAATCAACTTTTGCAATACCACTAGGAGTTACTTCTAAATTGATTCCGACGCGGAAAAACGAACACTTCTGGGGATCACAAAACGGTACTATCTGCTCTTCTCTTTTTCAGAATACAGATGGTAATCCAAAAATCCATCAAGCTTACTAACGTGAGTTACTTTATTATGGTTATAACTCTTATATAGATGTATGCACCGAAATCTCTTCTCTGTCATAGAGAAAGCGCATTTCAATATCATTTCGTGTTCGCAAGTTATTCAAAAATTAGGACATTTAAAAAAGTGTCCTTTATTCGAAACACTGATACTTAAACGAAGAAGCTACATTTTTCGTAGCAGTTCTTCAATGAAATTCAGCACGTCACATGAGTAGATAGAATAATATTTGACCTATTCCGTGATCCAAAAATATGCTCAAACGAATATATGAAAACAAAGAATAAAGATTTTACTAAAAATATACAAAAACGGTATTGAGCTTAAGGTCTTCCAATCTATATATGCATATAAGGTCTTTGTTATTATTTTCTCCCAATCATGCATATGTGCAGATGACTAGACAATACTCAACAGGCATCGGTAAGAACGACAAAGGCATTGCCATAGAATCATTTTGAGTGACGAAAATAACGCATCATCAGCTGACTTTTCTCGACGAGTATTTTACTTAAGATTAGAAAAACACCGTTGTTACAATTTTCACAACCACTTTCATATTCCCTTTTTATGATACTCGATCAACTTTCAGAATGACTTACGTTTCTTTTAGAAATATTCGAAATAGAAAATTCGTTTCGAATTCTCTTTATAACAGGCAACGATGAGATAAGATTTCGTGCGAACCTTAACATGTTATTGACTTCGAACAATAGATATGTCACTCACGAGAAGTAAAAGCCACTTATTAAGATCTCTGTCGAAAAACTTATTTAAATGAAAAGCATGATGTCATTTAAAAATTAACTAGCTAATTACTCACTAGAACAATCAACGTAATCTTACTTGTAAATATTCAAAAGCCTCTAATGGACTCTGAAATATAAAAATATCTTATAATAAGACGATAGATTGTTGATAATTGCTTGCTTACTTTAATATGTTGAAATGCATAGAGAATCTCTGAATTGGGTCTATTCTCAATTGACCAGCACCGATCCCATGAGAAATCTGCCGAATTCATCCGATTAAGAAATCAGACATAGGAAAACGATATCTTCACTTTGTCTACATCCACAGAGTTAGCCACAAGCTACACCCATGATGTATACATACTACGTGGACCTTTCAATAATAATATTAATTGAACCAATTCAAGTGACTTGATTTACTTTATTTTGAGTGGATAAAATATGGATACGGTTAATCTATATATTTATTCTACAGATGGCGCACAGGCACCTACTACTTAGTATGTATTAATAAAACCATTTACACACAAAATTAAAGAAACTCATATAGAGAAGACAAATTCATTAGGGAACTATATGGCACCAGTCAGGACACTCCAAAATGAAAACATATTTAACACTTGTACTACCAACCAGGGTGATTTTAGACCCTGTCCTTAGAAAAGTAAGAAAATAATGGGAAAATATTTTTTTATTTCTCAGCCTATAATAGTGAGTAGCATCTTTTACCAATGGGATTATGAAGCTTGTTATGAACTTTACGCAGTTGGGTCATAAGAAAGAAAAATGGACGAGACAATATCATTCTGCTGTGCTGGTCTTTTCTTCTCTTTTCCTTTCTTCTGTTTGCTTTTGTATGAAAAGCGCGTACACTCTATCTCTCTTTTCCATTTTTTGCTCTTTATGACGTTAGTTATACTTTCACTCTTCTATGACTTCAACCATTTTCTACTATCTCATTCTTACGTCATCGTATATCTCGAACTTTCGTTTCTCCCGATTTCGGATATAAATTGAATGATAATGTTCACAAAACTACAAAATAGGATGATGGAAGAAAAAAGCTCGTTGGGAGAAGAAGGCGCTGATGATATTTCTTACGCATCTGGAGAAAGTGCTTCGGAAACGGAAGATGCTGAAATTGCAACATCGAAAGATGAAGACGAAATCGATTTAGAAGATATTGCCTCAAACGACGATTATACTCAAGAAAATCCATTGAGTTCCATATCTGAAATGATCTGGTCATCAGCTCCATCACATACAAGTAAATTACGATTTCTTCGTAATGTAACTGTGGATTCTGGACCAACAGTATTTATCAAACATGTATCTTCTGTTGAAGACGCCTTTCTCTCTTTCATGTCGAAAGAAATAATGAACAATATACTATTTTATTCGAATATGGAAGGAAATCGTAACAATGTTTCTGATGACAAATGGGAAAACATTACAATAATTGAACTCAAGCAATTCATCGGACTTTGATTATTGACTGAATTATTGGGAAAATCCAAGAGAACTGTTAAGCCTTCATGGACTAGAACTCCATTAGAATCTCCGATTTTCCGAGTCACTAAGTCTAGAAATCGTTTTGAAACGATAATTTCTTCTGTAAGATTTTAAGAAACAGCAACAAGAATTGAAACAAAACTGACGGATAAGTTTGCAGCGGTTCGCGAATTTTGGTCAGATTTCCGAGAGAACGTAAAGAAATGTTACATTCCAGGACATTCTGTTAGTATTGATGAACAACTATTCGGATTCCGAGGAAATCGCCCTTTTCGTCAATACAGTTCATCAAAATCTGACAAATACGGTCTCAAAATTTGGTTGTGTGTTGATGTCGACTCTTCTTATATATTCAAGGCATTATCCTATATTGGGCGACAACCTAGTTAGCCAAAACAGAAATCCATAGGTGCCAATGTCCTGCTAGAGTTGATGGAACCGATGTATAGTTCAAAACTAAATGTCCCAACTGATAATTTCTATACAAGTATTCCATTAGCTAAAGAATTACAATCAAAGCACCTTGCTTTGGTAGGAACTCTGGGAAAAAATATGCCCGAAGTTCCCATAGAATTTCAGTCAAATAAAAGTCGCGAAATTGGGTCGTCTATGCTTGGTTTCCAAGGTAATCTTACTCTCGTGCCGTTCGTGCCAAAGAAAATAAAACTGTCTTATTACTTGCTTCCATGCACCATGACAACAAAGTAGATATCAAAAGCCGAAAATCAAACATTATTTTGCACTACAATAAAGCCAAAGCGACTGTTGATATTATTGATTAAATGTGCTGCAAATACTCGGTAAAAAGAGAAGTACGTCAATGGTTACTTTGTGTCTTCTATGGGGTGATTAATATTTGTGCTATCGAATGTCTATCCTTTACCCTAAATCTGGTACCCAGAATGCATCCCTAAATCGAATCCACATTTGTGGATAACAAAACGAAAATTAATCCAGATTAGGGGTTTTGATTTAGGGATTTTCTAATTTAG